ATAAGGTGACCATACATAATTTTAAATTTCTCTCGAGTTTTCGTGATTCATTCGATTTCAATTTTATTAATTAGAGATCTAGAGATGACTTTGAACGTGTATAATAATTGCTCTTATCACAGTGTGTCTACTTCTAAGAGATATTCTCGAGAGCAATTGTTCAAGAAATATATATTTGCATTATGAAAGTAAGATAAAGTATTTTGTTTTTGGATTGTTTTTCGAGTTTCTAAAGGCACGTGCGTTCAAAAATTGAGTTTCAGTTTCAGGAAAAATTGGCTCATTGGTATAATTGACGAACGAACTCCAGTCTTGTCCAATATTGTCATTTCATGTTCGAGATAAAGAATAATAAAAAATTATCGAGCATTTTTCGATCGAATTTTGCAATTATTCGATTATGCTAAATGAATTATGCTCGCACGAATTTATTTTTCATCTTATTACGAAATATATACGCCGATGCCTTGCTAATGTGTAAACAATTGAAAGTGGATGTTATGCCGCTGACATGCTGTTAAATGGACGACAGTTGTGAATATGCCGATCATTTACCGATCAGTTGCCGATCAGATGTTGTGCTGTCAAGTAGGCGACTCAACCTACTTATACTTACTGCTTCTACTTCAATATTTATTAAATTCATTTCATCTTGATTTAATCGTTTTGTTATTTTTATAATTTTTCATTTCGTTCACATTTTCAACTTGTTTTTTTAACAAATGTCAGCTCATCATGTTACATACCTCGACGCTAAATTATCACGAAATCGGATTCGTTATTCGAGTTCAAAGGTTTAATTGAACGGATTGAATACAGCTGGAAAAAAAAAATAATAAAAACTATGCGAGCAAATTCTCGAAACTTGCTTTCACACGATAGTTAATATTAAAAATGTAAGGTTAATTTCGAAGAGTATAACCGAAAGATAAAAAAAAAAAAAGAAATATTAAATTCTTAAAAAAAAAAAAGTGTGATACAATTGAAATCGTGACACAATGATCCTCTGCTAGATTAAGAGAAAAATTATCAAATTTTTACCATTACCATTAATGTAATTCTTCGTTCAAAGCAGTAAGGGGACATGGTCACCTTATTTCCTAACAAGAACCTCTCAAACAACTTACTTCCAGCTGCTGCAATAGCAACCTATGCTTCAGCCGATTACGATAATCCGTTAGAAAGACGTAGCCCCTGGATTCAAAACGATCGTTCCTAGGTCCAGAGTTTCTTGCTTTAACCGCGCCCCCCTCGTTCTCGTCGCTCTCTGTCGCAACGAAATCCTCCTTCGGGAATTCCCCGATCTGTTTCTCATCGTTCGCGTTACACTCGAACGAATCGCATTCCTCGCTGTCTGAAAAATGTATGTCGTATTTCGAAGAATTAATTTACTCGCACTTCTGTTTAATACTATCAAAATTATCATTGGTCCAACGATTTTTTATCTTTCTTCTTTGCAATTAATTTCATTGCTTTTATCTATGTATCGTTTATCGTTGTTAAATTTATTAGAATAAGAGATTGCAATTATTTTTATTAATATGATCGAAAGTCTAAAATTTTTGGATAGAGTTTCTATAACATTTCTTGTACGTAATAGGGTGAAGGATAAAAGAGAAAGGATCTTGAAGGTTTGAAGAATAAAGAAATAAATCGTGCAAATTGGCACGATCTGAAGAAATGTTATCGAAGTTAAGTTGATTTCCAAGTCTTGCGATAGATTTCTAAAAATTTTGAAGCTGAATTTTGAAATTTAATAAATTCGAAACGATTGGAAGTGTTTCAAATCAAATAATGTCGTTTTAAAAATTCCAAAATTCCAAAAAAATCATATAAGAACAAAAGTTTATACTAAAATGAAGAATATAACGAAAGATTGCTATTGGAAATTAAAGAATTTCTTTCCCACTATAATAGGAGAAGTTAAATGAAAGGAATTGCAATTATTTATTCCTTTATAGTGAAAAATGGTTGGAAATATAGAAAATCAAGATCAAATGAATTTTCAGGAAATTTGCTGGAAGAGAGAGTTAAAAGTTTTTCTTTTGAAAACTTTGCAAGATGACCATAATTAATAACATTTACTCTTAATCAGAGAGCAGCTCAATTGATGAAATTTGAAAAATTAAGAAAATTGGCAGAAAGATATGAAAAGAAAGTTACTTAATTTGATACGAACAAAAAAAAATATATAAACAAATTTATATTTATGTTAGAAATATTATTTAAAAGGATATGTAATAAACGATCAGAAAAGTTCAAATTTAAGAGTTGATTCTAAAGATCAAAGCAAATGCAAAAGTTGATGTGCAAAAATGATTGAGTCCATTCAAACTTACTTTTCAAGTCTCTCCATCTCGTTTTATCTAGAGCAAGATTAAACAAAGCCTGCAAACTTGGAAAAATAAGCTTCAACTTTTTGCATACCAACTTTTCTGTTTGCTCTAGCCTTTAGAATCACCTTTTAAATTTCCTAACTACTTTGTCCAAACACTTTGCACAAATCACGTACTAAAATTTTATCAAGAATGTTAAATATTCTTATAATTGTTATTCTGAGAAATATATATATATATATATATATA